CGCCCCGTGGGCCCGGGAGGAGGGCTGGGGCCAGGGCCTGGGGTGCGCCCTGGAGGCGGAGGCCCCGGCGGCGGCGTGGGGAGCACGGGACGCCTGCGCGCGCTCCAGGCTTTTCCTACAAAATTCCAGCCGCGCCGCCTCTTACCCCATCGACCCCCTCCCCGCCCCGGGGTCCAGGCGTTGCGCAGCCCTGACCCCGCCGTCCTCCCTGGTGGAAGCCGGACCTTGTCTCTGCGGAGTCTCCCGAGGGGGTGGCGCTCCGTGCGGTGTCCCAGGCCCTTTGAAATGACCTTTGCGCCGTCCCGATCCCTAGGGTCCGGGGACATGAACCCCGTGGTCGTGGTCCACGGGGGCGCGGGCAGCCGGGTCTCCCAGGACCGCGAGGAGCGGGTGCTGAGAGCGCGGTGGCCGCCCTGGAGGACGATCCCGAGTTCAACGCCGGTGAGTGTGCCCCGCGCGGGTCAGGCTAAGCCCCTCCCGGGGGCACCGGGCCTCCCTGGGGTGCGGGTGACCCGGTCCGCCCTGGGGTAGAGCTGCGTGTGTCTTACTACCTGGTGACCAAGTTGCTTTAAGGATTTTTAAATCTTTCCCCCCTTTGTCCCCTTGAACCCGCTTCCTAGAATTCGCATCCCCAGAGGTTTTTAAATATATGAATAAGTACCACTTAAAAAATATCTTTATTGATCTCAAAGAGGAAGGGAGAGGGGGAGAGAGAAACACCAATGATGAGAGAGAACCATTGATCGGCTGCCTCCTGCAGGCCCCCCACTGGGGATGGAGCCTGTAACCTGGGCCTGTGCCCTTGGCCGGAATCGAACCCAGGACCCTTCGGTCCCCAGGTGGATGCTCTATCCACTGAGCCAAACTGGCTGGGGCCCAAGAGGCTTTTTATGACACCTTTTTGTGCGGGCTGGGGGTAGACTACACACCACAAACTGTCCATTTTAAGTGTTGACTGATGTGTAACACACCTGTGTGACCACACCACCATCAGGTTAGACATTCCCATCACCCCCAAGGGGTTCATGTCCACCTTTAGTCCCCAGCTCCCGGCACCTGCTGGCCTGCTGTCAGGAGAGTAACCTGCGTTCCCTAGGATCTCGTGCGGAATGGGTTTTCTGTGTTTGCCTTCTTTCACTGAGCCGGTTAGAGTGACAATAAGCCTAACTGGTGAGAGCCAGGCACGGCCACAGCCGCCTAGGACATCTGCATGAACTCAGTCTGCACTGTGGTCTGACATTTATTTTAAATATGTTTATTGATTTTTTAGAGAGAGTGTAAGTAGGAAGAGAGAGAGAGAGAAGCATTGATGAGAGAGAAACATGGGTTGGTTGACTTCTGCACGCCCCATATGGGGATTTAGCCGCACATGTCGGGATTGTGGGCTCGATCCCCAGCCGGGGACGTGCAGGC